CATGAGAAATTACAACACATCTGAGGAACACATGCAGGAGAGCAGGACCTGGAGGCTGAGCACCAAGCAGTTAACATGTCTCCTGAGTTTGGGCAGAAGATCCGGGGTGCCAGCACCATCCTTCAGCTGGTCAGGACCACTCTTCTGTGTTTTGCAGTAGAGAGAGAAAGAATTCAATAGCAGTTTATACTCCCGTGCCTCCTGTCATATGCATTAATGGCTCTGCGTTACTTACAGTGGTGGCTCATCACAGTGAGCAATGCAGCAGAGCCACAGTGTGGTGGAAATGGAGCTAATCTGTGATGACGTTATGAATATGGTGGTGATGCAATGGCTTTAGGTGGTGACAAGACCAAGGTAGGAGGTTATTGGTTAAGATTCTGTTGGGGCTGGAGAGAGAACAAAGCAGCGATGCAACAGCTCCCAAGTTGAGAGCAATTGGCAAATCACCAGGTATAGAGATCTGTCCCCAAAGAGATTGCAAGCATGTTTCATCAGGTTAAGAACTGGCAAGGGGAGGAAAACAGTAAGTGAAGCTCTACGAGAAGAGGGATAGAATAGTGGAGGTGCGCTTGACCAAAGCTGTCTGAAGACATTAACAGAACAGGAGAGAAAAGGGACTTCTCAGTGATGGGGAATAATATAACTTGTAAATGTTATTTGCACTGGCTTTTTAATATTTTCAAGTTATGTTTTTCTTCAAAACACTTCTGTTTTAGTGATATTTTGCTTTAGGCAGGGCACTAAACTGCTGATCCCTTGTTACCTGAGAGGTTCCTGTCCAGGGCTGCAGATCAGGGAGTGCTTCCACAACCACAGCCTCCCGCTCCATGTGTCTCTTAACCTGAAAGGTGGAGGATACCTATGCATGCCAGGGGGTGATCTCAAGGAGCCATGAGAAGCACACCAGGAATATACAGTCTCCAGTGAAAAAGAGGTTTGCAAATGATGGCTCACACAATTAGTGCTACCATTCTTAGTTTAACAACAGCAGGTTTGTGGACATTACTTGCTCTCCTTCAGTTAGTCTCCAGATGCACTTTGGTCCCAAATCTTTTCCATGCAGCCATCTGGGAGGAAGCTGGGAAGCTTCACCCATGTCACTGTATAGGAAGACAAAGTGTCTCTCACACTTCAGGTGTTCATTTGCTGCTCCCAGATTATGAAAAGGTACATCAGAAGAGCTTTATTCTTTCCTAAGTTTCTGCTAGCTACTTGGCTGTTATGCTTGGAAACATTCAACGTCTTATGCTTAACCTGGGGCCACTACTGCTTTGTGCCCATCCTACTGTATCCTTCCCACCTTTGCTTCTGGGGCATCTCCTTCTTCCTTTTCCAGCTTGCTCTTTTTCAGAAAGGGAGCCTACCGCAGGGATATTTGAGCAGGAGTCTATCTACCTGTGTTATTCCTTCAACAGTATTTGAACCTGTTGTCTACCTTTTAACAACAGGTAACTGAAGGTATTGATTCTTTAGTATTTTTCATGAAAATAGGCAGCTGGGTAGAGGAAGATCTCTCCTGTGTCTTCCCCAAGGGAAGGGACACAGTGCAGACTTGTTCTTATTAATCAAAGAATCTATACAAAAAAGTAAATTCCTAGAAAACCAGGTCTTGATAGTGCTGCTGCTCAGGGGACCACTTTTTTACAAGGAAGCAACCAAGGCTGAATTTTACTCTACATGCTGGTACTGTTTACCAAATAGTGTTAACTAGGGCGATTTTTTTCACTCTTACTGTTTCATAAAGTTCCCTCCACTCTGTCCTTGTACCTGCTGCTCTGCATCAAGCAAGGCTTTTTACTGAGCAATTTGTAATATCTTCCAAATCACTGACCTCAGATGATCCCATGAGTCTGGCTCATCAGTTTGGATAACAAGCTTACCCTGCCTTGGTCTGAGTTAAATTTAATCTGCCACAGCATCGCTCAGTTTCCCAGTTGCTTTCTGTCTCTCAGCAGCTTCTCACAGGGTAATATTTTTTTCTTAGTTGAATGTGATTTGCAAAAATTTACCAGCTTGCTATAGTTTTCTCCTTCACTCTTCTTCTCTCTTCCCACGATATATGAAACTGTTGGTCCCTTTACATATCTCTGGGAGGATCTCATCTCATTGATAATAGGGGCATGAACATTAACTTTAAGATGCTCCTTCTTGGGACATGTATACATTGCAGGTCTCATTGGGTTTGGTGTCATAGACTGAGAAATGTGAAAGCAAGGCAGAGTGATGCTCTCAGTAGCTTAAAATAGCCCATTTCCATAAAAGCCTGTTGTCTGCCATGGAAGTGTTCTGCAGCTCTGTATTTCTGCTCTTCACAGTTCAGCTGCCCAAAGCTCAGGTCATCTAATACCAAATTCTTCCCAAGTATCCTGACACATGATGATGGGGTAAATGCTCACCCAAAAAAAGCAGGTGGTCATTTCATTCAGGTAAAACAAAGGCGTTTACCACCCTCTGCCAAGTAATTTTGCTAAGCTGATTGACTCATGTGCACACCATAGGGTTGAATGAACAGTTGGACAGATTGTTGTCTCAGCCACTGGTCCTACAAGAACCTGGTTTTCCTTTGTTAAACATTCATATTGCTTTGAAGAAAGCTTCTACCTACTCATCTTACTTCTTCCTCCCTCCCAAGCAGCATCAGACAGTCAGCTGGTTGTTTGGGAAAAAAAAAAAAAAAAAGGCATCATCTCTGTTCTAAAATGATCCAAGATGTCCTCAGATTTTCAGAAGGGATGGTGGAACTGAAGTGCCTTCTGACCTGGGCAAATATAAGACTGAAAAAAGTATGCGGCAGGTGTCAGGCAGGGAAAGGACTGCGGTGTCACAGCACGAAGGGGAGCAGACCCTTGCTGGACACCCTCAGGCAGGCGGCTAGGAGGGAAAGGGTCTAAGAGGTGTCTACAGGGAAGGACCTGGCTGGGCTGAGAAGTAGGAGGGGAAAAGATAGAGTGGGTAATTAGAAGGAGAAAGGAGAGAAAAAGGATCCCTGTGAATGTTTGGACGGGTCAGATAAACAGTGAGATGTTGGGGACTGGATGAAGCATTTGAAATGCAGGCTTCATTAATATTTTGTCTGCCTTATCTCAGGCTAATTTATTTTAGGGATGTGGAGATCCGTTCCTGATGATTATCAGGCAGCCTTGGGTTTTTGAACTGTTTCTTAAGCAGAAATTCTCAACATTTCTTAGGCCCTGTGCTGGTTTTCTACATTTCCCTATGTTTGAAGACATGAATCACCAAGCTACCATTATTTCTGTGCTATCTATCAGGAAACTTCCAGGTGATTTTCTCTTGCCTCCAGCAGCTATGGTAGCTATTGCTACCCAGTGGGCTCATGGTCCAATTGCATATTGTGCCAGTTGCCCCAAGACAAAGGCTAGAAATTGTGGACAAAAGAATTGGGAGTAACCAAGGGGCAAACACCTGGCTGCTTTCCAAACATGTTACTCTTGAGCAAATAACACAGAGCAAACAATGGATTAAAATTAATTTCGCTTTTATTCTACTTGTTTTAATCTATAAGCTATTCACAAAAATTATGATTTGCTTAACAAAGAAAAAGCTGACATTAAGTTCCAGACCTCCTCCAGTCAGGAGGTCCTTTCAGTCAGTGTGGCGGCCACCTTCCCCTCCAACATAGTTGTCCCCAGGAGAGGGAGTCTCCAAGAGAAAGCACGCCGCTCCTGTTGTGGCTTAATCCTCATTGCCAGCACCACAGAAAGCAAAGTTTTCCAGCTGAGAGTAGGGTTGATGTGAGGAAGCTACAAGTACAAACATGACAACCAAGAGAGATGTTTTATCTGGTAGGTATTTATTGATAGTAGGAAACAAACTCTGCCACTTAAAAAACATACAGGCTTCCTGCT